CAGGCCCTTCCCTATATCGAAGTGGCCTGCCTGCGTCCAGTCCAGGAAGCTTCCAGTAGGCCCCGGTAGCCTGAGGCCCAGTCACGAGGAAAGCAAGCCTTGGGCCTGAAGTGGTTGCATGTGCCCAACTGCTCTCGGCCTGTGTTTGGCCCGATACCCGTATCCAGCCCAGGGCCTGCTTCACGTACATTCACATAGGCGGCCCAGGGCCTTGGTTCACTCAACCAATCTGACGCTGCGCAACTGCCTGAATTTCCCTGAGTTGCGTGGTGGCCAGAAAAGGGCCCTGAGGGCCTCGTCGAGCCTACCTTCACTTAGGGCGGCCGACGGGTTGCAAAAATGGGGGCCTTATGGGGCTCTTAAAGGCAGTGGCCTCGCATTCCCTCCTCCTTAGCTTCAACAGTCCTCTGAGAAGCTCAATCTTCGATCATAGGGCGCTTTCCCTTCCGCAAAGATCTCTCATATTGAGTTACAACTTGAGGAGCGGTCTGCATGAGCTCTTCCCTGGTGAACCAGAGGCCCTCCTTTGGATCAGTGTGATGTCGGAACCGAACGCGGTACTGCAGCTTCGGTTTTGGAGGACGTCCCTTGCCTGCTGGTTTTGATACCGGCAGCTCTCTGTGATCCACAATATCATCAATGTCCACCTCTCCGTCCATGGTTGGGGCGAACATTGAGCGACAAGATGGAAACTGGTCAGTCTCTTTGAAAGGTGCCAGCTTGGAGGCGTGAAAGACAGGGTAAGTATGGAGATGACCAGGAATCCGGATAACGTAGGATGGCCCATCCGGATCTGTCCCGACAATGTCTAAGACTTCCCACCGTCCAAAGTACTGAGGCATGAGTTTGCGGGATATCCCGTACTCCTGTCCTTGTTCTGAAGACTTAACCCAGACCCTATCCCCAACCTGAAATGTTGAAGGTCGGCGGTGTCGGTTTTCGGATTCTATCATCGCTGCCTGTGCCTTCTGCATCTGTTCTACCACCTCCTGCATTTTCTGTTCATATCTATAGGCAAATTCTAAAGTTCCTGGTGCAGCAGTTGATTCATTCTCAGGAAGGAGAAAGTCAAGGGGTAGTCTAGGCTTGAATGTCAGCAGTAAACTATTCGGGCTCACCCCAGTGGCACTGTGTACCGTGTTGTTATACAGTGGCGATGAGAGCAAGCTTCTCATCCCAGTCCACCTGGTTGGGCTTGATGTAATGCCTCAACAGGTGTTGTACAACGCGGTTCAGTTGCTCAACCTGGCCGTTGGCTTCAAGGTGATTCCCAGAAGTCATTTGCAACTGAGTGCCCTGTTCTGCAGCAGTGACCTTCCACAACTCGCTGGTAAACCTGACATCCCTATCACTAACAATAGACTTAGGTAAACCAAAGTCTCTAACCCAGTTTTCCTTGAACATTCGGATCACGTACTCCGTCTTTGCTGTTTCCGGCATGGCTACTAACCTAGCATACTTACTAAATCTATCCACGATGACGAAGATGTGACGCATTCCACTCTTGCTGGTGATCAGAGTATCCATGAAATCTATGGACAGACTCTCACCAGGCCGTTCCGGAATCGGAAAGGGCTTCAGAAGCCCAAGAGGAGCCTGAGTACGTGGCTTGTCCCGTTGACAAACTTGACAAGTTTCCACGTACAACTGTGCATCTCTCATCATCGTGGGCCACCAGAAACCGCTGCAGCAAGTTGGCTGCGGTCTTCTTATACCCAAAATGGCCGGTGGCATCATGACACTCGCCTAAAAACAAACTACGCAAAGACTCGCTATTTGGAACACACAAGCATTTATTCCCTGCCTTCTCTAGGAACAGCGAGCCATTGACCAACTCAAACTCGGCGGAAGTCTTCTTATCCTTCGCCTCAAGTCTACGTATGATCTCAGACAGAAACTGGTCCCCGCGATAGGCTTCCACCAAAGACTGAGTAACATTGTTCGTCATATCTAACTCAGTAATCAGCGCACCTGAGAAGTCCAGTCTGCGCGACAAGGCATCAGCAACCTTGTTGTACTCTCCTTTAAGATACTGAGGGTCAAAGTCATATTGCTCAATGACTTCGATCCAACGCTTGAGAGCGTCAGAGAGTACCGGTTGGGTTCTCATCCATCTCAGGATCTGATGATCAGTCCTGAGGATGAAGAACCTCCCAAGGAGATAGTGTCTCCAATGGGTGAGAGCCTTGTATACCGCATAGAGTTCCTTCTCATAAGTGGACTTAGCCAACTTCTGAGACGGCATTTTCTTGGACATGTACTCTACTGGCCTCAACTTTGGCCCCTCCTGTTGCGTGAGCACAACACCAATGCCATATTGGCTCGCATCCGTGGTGACTATGAACGGCTTGTCAGGATCAGGAAGTTTCAAAACCTCGTAGTGCGTCAACGCATGCTTCAGATGTCTGAAAGCAGCCTTGCGCTCATCTGTCCACTCCCATGGGGTGTCAAGGCGGGCAGATCAGTCAAAGGAGCGGCCACTATGCTATAGTTCTTAACGAAAGTCCTATAGTAGCCTGCCATTCCCAAGAAAGATCTCATCTCAGTCACAGACTGAGGACTTGGCCAATCATGAATGCTGGCCACCTTATCGGGCTTCAACCCTTCCGCGGAAATTTCATTGACCCAAGTACAAGACATGGGTGCGGCCAAACTCGCACTTCTCACCGTTGATCTTGAACTTGTGCTGTCGCAGGAGACTGAGGACTTTGTCTAGATGTGCAACATGCTCCTCGACAGTCTTACTAAAAATAAGTATGTCATCGAGGTACACGATGACAAACTTATCCAAGTAGTCATGGAATATCCGATTCATAGCGTGCTGAAAGGTGCCAGGAGCATTGCAAAGGCCGAAAGGCATCACCACAAATTCGTACAGACCGTACCTAGTCTGAAAGGCGGTTTTGTGTTGATCCTCGGGCCGGATTGCAATCTGATGGTACCCGGACTTCAGATCTATCTTACTGAAGTACCGACACCCTTGCACTCTATCTAACAGATCATCGATGCGCGGTAGGGGCTCTCAGTTCTTTACAGTGATGGCATTGAGGCCCCTATAGTCAATGCACATCCTAAGTGTACCCTCCTTCTTCTTAGGTACAAATAGAACTGGAGACCCATAAGGAGAGACACTCGGTCGGATCCAACCCTTCTCTACGAGTTCCTTGAGTTGGCGGCGTAGCTCGTCAAGCTCGCCTGGAGACATCTGATAGATCCTACCCTTCGGAATACTAGACCCTGGGATAATCTCTGTCGCGTGGACGACCTCCCTCTCAACAACCCCTGTCGGCTCTTCAAATAGATCAGGGTACCTAGCAACTACTCCCTCTATCTCCGACGACATTTTCACCGGCTTGCCTGCAGCAGAGACATAAACTAAGTACATACCCTCCTCCTGATTTTGCTTATAATAATTATAGAACGCGGCCGCACACATGCACCCGTAGGACTCAATCAGACTACTAGCTTTGAACTTGTGTAATCTGGCGGTCCCTCCACTTGGCAAAGTGTGTTTGACCACTTTTCGGTCCCAGTCAAACTAGGGCTGTGCCACAGAGAGGTAGTACATACCTAACAACATGTCCATGGGGAGTTCATCGCTCACTAGGAACGAGACACGATGTCTCAAGTCCCCTCCCGCGTACGGGAAACAACACTCTACATCTTGGAGGTAGTCGTTAACTACCATGCGCTGTTTGTTGGCACAGGTCGACTCCACAGGTCGACTCAGGCGTTGCACTCGCCCCTGTAAGCGCAGTCTCTCAACGCTCGCGCGACTAATAAAGTTCCGCGTCGAGCAAGTGTCATAATAGGCCCCGGCCTTGCGACCGCCAATGGCTACCTCGCTGACGAACATCTCACCCTTCGGGGCTTTGACTAGTGCCATCCAAGAAGCTGGCGGGTCTGATCTAGACCACTCTACTTCTAGCTCCTCTAAGGACTCAAACACATTCATCGAACAGAGACTCGATGGGTCTAAATGTGCTTGCGGGACGACACTGGAGTCAGTAGCTTGGGCCATCTCTCGAGATGGTGAGGGTGTCTCCACCACCTCGACCCTAGCAGGAACAACTACAATTCCTACTGGCCCGACGTATTTCCCGGAGCACTGCCTGATGTACTGGCAATGTTGCTTCCAACGGGTTGAGAGGATCCTAATACCTGCCCCATCGTAGGCGGGATCTTTTCGGTTACCTTCTTGTTGCGGCACTTGAATTAGCTGTGGTCATATTGACCACAACGAATACAGGCCTGCCGAGAGTAACGGTCTCTCCACACGTCCTCAGTGAGACCCGCTTTCTCCCATGGAGGAGCGTTGGGGTCAACTTGACTCCTAGACCGGGAGCCTCCGCGGCCTCTCCCGGTTACCTTACCTTTTTGAGCAACGACAGAGACTACTCCACCCTCTGAAGCATCTAAGCTGCCCGCCTCTGAACCTACTCCCTCCTGGAAGTTGCCGTCCAACTCGATGGTTGAACCATCGTTGTCGACAAACATGATGCGACCCTTCGCCTTCCAGTTGGGAGGCAATGTCTTCTTTCTCCCATCCGTTGTGGGTGACTGTCCATGCCCCATCTTTGCCTCAAGGTCTAGGGCTACCTTGCTAAACGACGTAAAATTGTGCATATTGATGTTGGCCTCTTTTGCCAACTGGTTCCTGAGAGGCTGAGAAAAGCATCTCAGGTATGAAGTCAACAGGACCTGGGGGCCATAGCGCACCCAGGGACACAGATCAGACGCTCGACAGCGTCAGCGGCTTCCCTTACTGACTTAAACTGCCTCGTGTGCAGTGTCAGGATCGCATCAGTGACCCTTTGAGCCTCCTGAGGATCATGCCACCTCTCCTCCACCATCTTCAGGAAGTTATCCAGTTTCTGGGTGGCTGCCCAAGCGTGGAAGTCATGACCATATCCCTGAAGTTGCACTAGACCGCTCAGCCATCTTGCTGCACTACCCTCTAGGTAGGAAGCAACCACAAGCACTTCTTCGTGTGGCAAGGTGAGTTTACACCTGACGTAGACCGACACTGGCCTCAACCATGTGTCGAGGTCTTCGCCTCTCTTGTCCCCTGTAAAAGGTTTGGGAGCGACGATGGCCGTCCTTGGAACCCACTGGGTCTGTCCCGGTCCCTGCACCATTCCGGGCTGTGGACCCGGTGACATAGGTTGCTGTGCTAGCTGCTGGGGCTGCGTGCCCTGAGGCTGCACAGGCTGCGAGACAGCAGGCTGCGTGGTGACTGCAACCTGCAACGGACTTTGAGTAAACATTGTCTGTACAGGAACCTGCACACTACTCCCTGTTGTTACCCCTCCTGACAGTGGCATGCCCAGGGAAACGATAGCAACTGATGAAGGGGCTACATATGGGGATACCCCTGTCACCGGTGGGATAGAAAAAGGAGGATACGGCACGGGCCAGGCACCAGGCCCGGTTGGTGATGGTGCAGCAGGCGCACGGCCTGCCAAAACGGCTAGGCTCTGTTGAATGTCCTGAAGGATTGTAGTTTGGTGCTCCTGCATCTCTATAACGCCTAGCAGGGCCCTCCTTACTACCTTCACATCAGCATCCATATGCGTCAGGTCCATCAATTCTAACTCCTCTATATCTGCCCCTCTCCGCTGCATCCTGGCTCTTCTTCTGATCATCGTTTCCTTTTCCGCTTTTATCTCTCCTAATGCCCGCTGTAGTTGTGCCTCCTGCAGGGCTGCCTGCTGGATGGCGACATCCTCCAGAGTTAACACCGCGGCCTGGCTTACCATTATACCAGTGGACTGACTCACGGTCTGCGCGACCGTGGACCCGACGGCACCTGAACTACCGGCTTGGGAAGTCTGCTGCGCAGAAGTGGACATGGCTGTGGTGGCCATGGCTGCTGTGGCACCGGCCTCGCTAATTAAAGTCCTGTTGGCCTCGGCTGCTCTAGCCCTCCTCTGCTCCTGCTGTCTCTCCCTGCGCCGGCGGAACAGACTCCTATCACCCTCCGGTCCTAAAGACACGTGGGCTATCGGGCCTCTAGCTGATCGCAAGATCCTGCGGTCGTCCTGTCCGGTGTCCTCCTCGTCGCTCATAGGCTACAGCGCTATGCACAGTCTACACTAGATCATGCTAGATGCCTACCGCAACATAGTGCACAGTCCACTAATTTAGTGGTGGCTATTTTGGAACAGATATCACTTGGGGTCAACAGGTAAGTCAGATTCCTACAACTGAAATTATTTTTAGTTTGACTAGTCCGCAGACAGAAGCACCTGGAACAATAAACAGTTCTAACTAATGCTGTTTGTCAAATGTCAATGACAGTCCATCTAACTAATCAAAAACATAAAAATAGAATCACTTGTGTGTATAGGACAACATGGAATTTTCTCGAACTTGTCACCTGGAATCAACTCCCCCCTTAGTTCCCCTGAGTATCACTTGATGTCAGCGTCCCTGAGCAATCTGGAGAGCAATGCGTGTCTAAAGGTGTGTGTCCGGCCCACCCCTGTGCCCCGAGTATCCACTGAGACGGCCAGCCTTGCACGTATATTTATCCTCGGCGTGCCGCGAGCCTTCCAACCATTGACTGATCCAGGGGCAATTTGGCGTCCGCCCCCAAGTGACTCCAGAAATTATTTTACGTCGCAGCTGGACGACGATCACAGTCAATGGTTCCCCTTCCCGTGTTTATTTATAGACGTCGGGTGCTTGTCTTTCCTGTAGGGCTGGCCTGCCCAGTAGTACCCATCTAACAGCGCAGCAAGCCGAACAAAGGACAAGCAGCTTAGGCATGCGTGCTCTACTCCCTGTGGGTTGGCATGGTGACCGTGACCCAGTGCTTCGTCCAGGGCCCTTCAGAAAGCTTCACCCATCTCCACCCAGATGCTCCACGTGAACATTGCCGACTCTCAAGGTTGAGCGCACTCGACACCTCACAATGAGAGGACTCTCAAGAAGGAACACACAACCTCACGGTAAGAAGTGTCGGAGAGAGTAGATAAGGTTAAGAGCAACGTACCTCATTTAGCTGCCCCCAACCACAAAGATAATCTCACCAGATGACCAAATGGCAATTGCGATGACCAGTCACTGCATCGGCACAACCAGCATTTTCCGCCGTTCCACCTCAGCATCAATCGCACATTAGATAGTTCTCATCACACTCTCCAGACCACATTCACCTCACGTAGCCTTCCTAGCGATTCCCCTCACCTCCTGGGTTGCCTTACACTCGTCTCCACCCTCCTCACTACACACCACTTACGGCCAAACTCGCCCAGCAGACCGCATGTATGTACCGCATAAGGCAGAAGACAAGCGCCAGATGAGCGCAATCGTACCACAGCTCCTATACCAAATTGCAAGGAAAATGAGCAATAGCGAACTCCAGCAATCAAACAGCATCATACATATGAGTCCAGATAGTCTTGACCTCGTACCAACGGCAGAATTGCATCACGAGATACACCAAATAAGAACACACCAAGAGTTCATAATTGACAATGCTGAAGTAGTCCCATCATCATCAACGAAGAACCAGAGTTGATATCCTATCTGGCGCTCGGCGCCCA